ATATATATATATATATATATATAATCGGCATCACTCCATGCAAGGCAGTAAAGCCACTATGTCACAAGGTGATGCAAAATGGGAAAAAATTAGAAACAGTAATAATAAGCGGAAAGACAAAAGAGTAATCAGGGGGACAGTAGATAGTGATTGACATTGTTTTTACATTTCTGAAAATTACAGTTTGTTGTAAAGCATGGAGGCGGAAGAAACTGTTCGCATAGAACTGACGATATTGAGTCACCCCCCCCTCCAGGAGGGTGTCATCTGGCACAAGGCCTTTTTAACGTGGGCTTTCCGAGCCCGTGGGCTCGGCCAAAAATATGCCCATATTAGCATAGAACTTACGGCTACATCTAGCCAGATTAACTGTAAATTAATGAGAACTCGACGACAGTCTAATACTGCCCTTAAATTCATAAAGTATAGGCACCATAGCGAAGAACTCATTCGAACTTATACCATGAAAGTTTTTATAGAAAAAGACACAGAGAGGCAACATTACGGCGGCTGAAAATATATGTATCTGCGTGTGTGTAATTGTGTGTGTATGTGTGTGTTGTTTGACACAAAGCAAAATTCAGGTGCAACCAACGGCTATTGAATTCTAACTCTACTCCAACGTGAGGCAAATACATAAATACACACACACACACACACACACACATATATATATATATATATATATATATATATATATATATATATATATATATATATATATATATATATATATATATATATACACAAGCGTACTATTTTATGTAAAAAGTCACACGCATACACAAGAACATATACAATTGTTTTTTTTTGTTTTTTTTTTTAGAAAGTTTTTCTTGTGTTTTAAGCCTTTTTAATGCGGGCATTCGCAAAATTTTAAATACTTCGGCGAAATTCTACATTTTGTAAGTTTTTTGAAACCCCTTCAGGTAGTAAGCGATCATGGCGCTGCACAGATTTTATTTTTATTTTCTCTCACTTGACATGACTTCTTTTCTAAGTTCGCTTTCTTGTTGTTTTCTCTAAAGTTTTTTAATTCATGGCTGGTTGAAACCCAAGACTAAAGATATCAGTCTACCTTGCCATATAATCCATATCTGGGTAGCGAGGACAGGACGTTTTATGACTTTCCATTTATTCGAAAGTGAAGATTATAGGTAAAGAAGAAGACTTACAAAAGAACCTGGCATAATTCCAGTTAAACTCAGCGCGTGTTCAAATCGCATTAAAGTTATTGGGGATAGTATGATTTGGATTTTTCTTTATTTACAATATTTATATTCGGAGTATTTGTTGTTGTTATTATCACAATGTTTAATCACGGGTTATATCGATGTGAGTAGCCTACAGAAAATTCAGAACTGTGCGTGTCAATAATGATAACTCATCATACAAAACATTTTTCTGTTTAGATTTATTACCAGATAGTCATCACCTCCAGAACCATCTTGCCTTTCGTTATGTTAAGGCGCATAATATCAAAAGTTCTAGGAAATTACTTACCTGCCCTTATCTAGAAAATTATATGTAGACATCACAGCTGCAGACAACAATATCAACAGAGAATTCATCTTCTCCTTCACGAGGTAATGCCTTCCAAGCACCGAATCCGCAGAATGTTTCGATCTGATAGAAATACTATATCTGTTCACAGAGCCGTACATGTCGGGCGAGGACCCCCAATAGCTCAGGAGGGTTTTATGAACAACTAACCATCGTATATTGTCGATCTGCATGACTTTACAGCAAACAAAGTCTGGAACATGTTTTGAAAATAAAAATATAATTCCCATCACACTAGAAATATATACATATATATTACACATCCAATTAAAAATATAAACATCCTTAATAAGGGCTAATAAAATAGGCGAAAACGCTCGGATATATAGAAAATTTGAACAACGTCTACACAATTTATGTCCAGAAAAGAAATATAACACTTACGCCTTACACAAGAAAATTAAATGAAAAAAGCTCAATCGCAGTACCTTATCAGTCGTCTTCAATGAAATATATATATATATATATATATATATATATATATATATATAAGTGGCCTGACGATTGCGTCTAGCATGAAACAACCTGTCGCCTCTAAGTGTTGACTTCAATGTTCACTTTTATATATACTGTGTCTCTGATATTGAGCACTTTATCCCATAAATATAGCACATATATCTATATATATATATATATATATATATATATATATATATATATATATATGCTTTCCCTGACGATCCGTTTAGGTGAAACCTAGGTAGGTTTGTCTGGCTCACTAGGTGTATCTGGGTTTGCTCTACGATTGTATTGAGCTCTTTTGTTAGTTAGTTGTTACTCGTATCGGGGTTTTTTCTTTGGGCTTCAGACCTGCATCTGTGCGATTTTTTGTCGGCAGAGGTTTATGTTTGTGGCTCTTTCTTTTTTAAAACCTTTTTTCCCTCGAAATTGATTTGATTAACAAATCAAAAATTCGAGGGTTTTTCGAAACGAGTCTAGTTGTTTATATTTATATGTATATATATATATATATATATATATATATATATATATATATCTTCTTATATATATACAGCATATTTTCATTCAAGCAGAGATTTGGCTAAACAATTTAGACGTATTATGTCTATTTATATTGGTTTTAATCCTTTCAAGTACACGAATTAATTTCTCGGTTGCTGTAGATAATTGATTAAGAAAAATACCAAAATTAACAGAATACGCTTTTTTCAAATATTTTTTATTTCCCCAAGTAGTTACAATCTCATCTGAGACCATTTTCAAGGGTCTAAAATTGTCTGTGGATATGTACACGTATTTCCGTAAATTTGAATTTGAGCCTGGAACACTGTAAGAAAAAACGAGAAGTGAAAAAATATATATATTGAATTTACAGAACTACGGATAAACATCCATAGACAATTTAACCCCCTGCAGATAGTCTCAGATGTGATTGAAAATACTTGGGGAAATAAAAATTATTTGAAAAAAGTGGATTCTGAGTTAATGCCGTCAAATGCTGTATTTGTAAACTTGGATGTTGCACTCAGTGGTTTCATAAAACATTTTTTAACTAATCAGAAGTGAGAAAAAAATATATTCATCAAGACTTTAAGTGGTCTTAAAAGGATGTAAAAACTCACAATCTTTAGTCACTGAGTTCAGACATTCAACCTGATACAGACTACGTGTCACCCGTGACCAAAAAAATGTTGCCACCATAGATATTGCCACCACAACTTTTTATAGCCTTATGTCAGGCAGTAAAATTTATATTTAACTTTCTGACACACTTAATGAATGAAAATTTCAATTACCGTTTTCAGTAAACAGTCGAAAATGGTCAAAACATGGTTTGAAAAAACATAAATATATATAATTTCATATTTTTTCAATATATATAAATATATTTCCTCTTTTTAATTGCAATTTTAATGCTCTGTTTTTCCCTGCTGATGAATCGGAACATGACATTTTCTATCAGTTTCTTTTATGCCAAATTATTCTCAGTGTTTGCCGGCCACTCACTTATTTTCGTGTTAGTGGGAAGATGGCTGTTATATATCACTTATACAATGCCACGTGTGATATTGTTACAAGGTTTTAAATGATGATATGCAGAAGATTTTAAAACATCATAGTGCATTTAAATTATGGTGCATCCACCCGAATCAGTGGATGTCAGTCTACTAGGGGGACTAGCTAATCCGCATTGCAGACGCCTGCTCAGGCACATTTGTGTCTTTTCAACACCCACAGAGCCCATCTGTGGTTTATACTGCAACTCTGCTGAGCAGACTTTAGATTCTGGAAGAGAGCGCGTTACCTAGCGTGATCAACACTCTAAACAAAGCCAGCGCGCTCAAACCCAGGGTTACGATGACTTGTGACTTTGTGCTAGCACAGCCACCTACGGCTCCCAAGGGTACCGTGTACCCAATGTCACTCATAATGCTTATTTCAACCCGTTGTATGGTTTCCAGGCGCTTTCCAAACGCTGGAATTAAGAAGTCCTCTACTAGACAAATCAACCATAGTGAGATTCGAAACGGGTTCTCACGGTTAAAACAATTCGGCAACGTACCCATGGTGCATTTAATAATATTTAGAAAATTCTACTGAATAAGTTAAATAATAAATAATCACGTATCTTAACTGCTTTCTTCATCATACTGAATAAAACTGTAGGGATGGAAAGAGTGCTTATCACTTTTGGGATGAGAAATTCACGAATGTCAATTGACGGTCACCGAGTGACGTCAGTTCGTAGAGTGACGATCCCCAGTTGCTACAGTTTAAATAGACCTCACACGCCCACAGCAGTAGGACGAACAGAGATCCACATGTTCTCACTAGAAACATGGAAAATACCACCGGCCTGGCTGTATTCCCTTTGGGAAATATTAAAGTAAAACCCTCTCGCTTCTCCCCCTACACGTAAGCCAACAATCTGCCACTGGGTGCCATGCAACTTGCGTTTACCGCTCGTGGCCTGCTGTCGGACGACCGGTGTGTTTGTCTCGGCAATGTTACCACTAGCAGACCGCTAGAGGCCCGTCGGTGGACTACCGCTGACTGCCACCAGAAGACAGCTGGCGTTGCCATAGGTGGCCCGCCAGTGGGCCACTAGCGATTTGCGTGTAGGGTCGCCTATACATTGTTTTTTCATATGTTACAGTTTCTCTATGTGGGTCAAATTAGTGTCAATTATTTATATATGTGTATATAATTTCTTGTATCACATAAGGTTTTAAAAAATCTCTGAGAAAAATGCAAGTTTGAAATTTCTTTCTTTCAGCTATTCTGTTTCGTCTATTCTATTAAGGTGTTGCTATATTACGGATGTACTAATGCCTATAATGGAAATATTCTCACTTTGGATAAGACCCCACCATTAAAAATGTCTTTTATATGTTGATTGCGAGTATATTATCTACTTATTAATCCATATTTTATAACATTTTCTCATACATGTTTTTTTAATCTCATTGTCACAGATATACTTTTTAATATCTCCAAAGGGAATGAATTACTTGGAGCAAAAACTCGCAACCACACCCTGGTTTTCAACATCAGCAGCTTCCCCGGTGGAGAACTGATCAACCTGGCCCAGCTTCGTTTGTACAAATTGGTTGAGCGAGACAGAAATACGTACATTGGGGACGACCGAAAGGTGTCGCTGTACGAAGTCATTATTCAGGATGACGGCACGCGACACCTGAAGCTCGTCTCGCAGAAACACATTTACGGGCGTAATAGCGGCTGGGAATCGTTCGACGTGACCCCGGCCGTCCGTCGCTGGGTTGCCGAAATCGAAAGTGGTGCTGTCCAAATGCTTGAAGTGACTATTGAGAGTATATTCAACAGCGTGTTGGGTAACGATGTTGATATTAGCACCGAGCCGCGGAGCAAGAAGGAACCGTTGCTAGTTGTTTTCTCGAAACAGATTAACAAACGACTAGTGCACCAGCAGGAGCGAGACGAACTCCTGCGGCACGACATGACTCTGAGTGACATTGAAGATGTTGACAATTTCACAGCTACTGACTCTCTTCCGTCGGCTCGATCTTCGGTATCGACTGATGGCGACGAATCCGATGATGACGAAGAAGAAGATGATGAGGAAGAGGATTCTTCAAAGGAGGATTCGTACGGGTCTATAGACGAAATGACGTCATATGCTAAAGTGACGCAGAGCATGCGCACTGGAAAGGAATACCTGAGCCGATCGAAACAGAAAGTACGTGTGAAAAGAAGTAAAACATCAAGCAAACGGAATATCTGTCGACGGACCAAACTCGAGGTGGACTTTAGAGATATTGAGGGCCACGGCTGGATTGTGGCACCGCAAAGATATCAAGTAAGTATTAAATACTAAGCTGTTTATCTGACATGTGTACATATCAAAATACGTATTAATTTCAATGATAATATATGTAGAAGCACAAAAAAAATCCTCACTCTCAGCAGAAAATGAAGCACTAAACATGTATGGATATTTGAGCCGACAACATTTAAACCCATTATTCGTAGGTAGCTGTAGCTAGCTTAAAAAATGTCTATATCTCTGAGATGAGGTATTGTAACTATTTACATTGTTCGGACTGTTGTCCTCACTTTTATTGCCATATTCACGAAGTTTCGACCGTTGTACGCTTCTGGCTTCTTCAGAATCTGTCTATATTTCTGAGATGAGGTATTGTACTTATTTACACGATTTACATTGTTCGGACTTTTGTCCTTAGCTTTATTGTCATATTCACGACGTTTGTACGCTCTGGTATTCTTCAGGTGACATTCGTTGGCGGACTTGTGAGTTCAATACCTGGTCACAGCAGAGTTGAACAAAAACTTGGAGAGTCGAGATACTAAAAGGGAAATAACTGAAACTGAGTCACGTGGAACTAGAACAATCTATCACAGTGGACTAAATAAAGTTCGGTTTGCATTTCCAACGCATATCACCTGAAGAAGGACGGGGCGTACAATGGCCGAAACGTCGTGAATATGATAATAAATATGAGTCCGAAGAATGTATATAAGGTAAAGTGCGTAAAAGTTGTTGGCACAATGAGCCAGGTCGATTGCATTTAATTTCGCGTTAATGCCGTTAAACAAAACATGAATCTATGATTTCACCGAATTAATCAAATAACAGGGTAGACGGACCTTTTGTAGCCCTCGATGGAAGCCAGTCTAGGGGAAAGACAATTCCGAATTAATAAACGTGACAGGGAACGAAAATCTTTTCAAAAATTCATTGCGATTCCCAGATAAGAAATAAAAAGAAGCTGTAGAGAGTCATGATCGCCTACATAACATTAAAAATAGTACTATTATTACTATGATAGCAGTAGTATTATAATAGCAGCTATCGCAGTACTAGTAATAATAGTATTTGTTCTTCTCCCAGTTATTTGTTATATCGCAGGATAGACTAGGCTCACAAGTCTTGGTTGGCCGCCAGTCTAAGAGAAAGAAAATTTGAATTAACAACTGTGAAAAAGGCGACGGATCAAGGAAATTCAGTGATCTAAAAGAAGGCTGATGTGGAGAGTCATAATCGTCTACGTCCTGAAGGAAGATAATATTAAAATAATAATTATACTAGCTATAGTACTGTCGTAGCTGTTATAGAAGTAGCATTACTTCTCCCAGCTGTAGATTAGATAGTAGTGTAGACTAGGTTTCTCAGCCTTGGTTTGCCGCCAGTCTAACTGAAGGAAAATTTCGAATTAATAACTGCGAAGAAGGTGACGGATGAAGGCAGTTCAGAGATATTAAAGATGTGATGTGGAGAGTCATAAACGTCTACGTCCTGAAGGAAGATAATATTAAAATAGTCATAATACAAGCTATAGTACTGTAGTAGCTGTTATAGTAGTAGTATTAGTAGCATTACTTATCTTAGATGTGAATTAGATAGTAGGGTAGACTACTTTTATCAGCCTTGGTTTTCCACCAGTTTACGATTAAGATAACTGAATTAACAACCGTGGAGGAGACAAGTTTTCTCCAAGACTTTAGAGCAATTACCAAATAATAAAGAAAAGTGATTTGTGGGGAATTATGATCGCCTACGAAAATGAACGGTATTGAAATGAAATTAAAAACATTCGCAGGCAAGATTTTAGCTTTCTTTCCCCATATTCTATTTTAGAGAGTAAAGCACGACATTCTGCTTAACAAAAGAATTGAGAAGATTTATATTTTCACTTATTTTCATGAGACTTATTTAATGCTACATTAAACATTGCTTGCTCCTTTTTTATTTGTTCCAAGTTGATTTTCATATAACAATTATCTTTTTCAACCTCTATCTGTAAAATAGAGTTTATGATTATAAAGTTCATTTGGCCTGATTGGTATTATTGCACCAAGTATGATGCAATATTCTTTTATTTAATTTAATTAATCAGTACAGTTATGCAGTTGGATATTAGTTGCAGTTATGCATTTCTCTTCAACAGCAACAGCAACTTGGTGTACTTAATATATTATTTGCCTTATTCATTGGGGTTATTTAATATATTTTCTTAAATATATTTTCTGGAACAATTCTGAACCTAAGACTGATAACTCTGGCTGGGTGGGGGACGATATGAATTTTGAACCTGATTCAAATTTTCTTAACCTTTCATACGTTTTAGTTAACATTTTAATTGTCAACATCAGTGTTTTAAGTCTCAAAAATATTTGAAATGAGGTCGCTGGGGAAGGAAGAGAAACAAAAGGGGTCTCTGTTCGAAAAAGTTTGACGACCCCTGGTTTAATGGAATTCGACTTCACTGATATGTTGTAACAGATATGAAGTTCTGTAGAAGGATGCTGAGAATGACACAGACAGAGAATATGAGAAATGAGAAGGTTTTTTTACGGAAAATGGGAACGAAAAGGAGACGTGTAGTTAGAAATGCAAAGATAGTTGATATGACATGGATACGTCATGGGGACAAACGGGCTTGGAGTATTTGATACTCAAAGCATGGCAGAACAGGGACTGAGTTAGAGAGTAAAGGACATATGATGTTTAGAGCTACAAAAGCTAATGAAAGGACACGGCGCGTAAAAGAAGAAGAAGTGTTTTAATCCACGACAATATCCGTCCTCATGTTGCAAATGCGACCCAGCAAAAGATAAACGGATTATTCTCCTGAGCACCTTCAGAGTAAGACTTGATTTGTATCTTTACAACAGGTCACGGCTCGTTAGCAGGCCCGGCAATTTTCAGATGCTGTTTTCTTAAAATGGAATTAAAAGCAAAGTGCAATTCTTATCGAATTATAATTCATACAGTAGATTAAAGATTTTTGCAAAGAATTGATTAAAATTTGTATAACATTGAAATTTGAGGGTTTAAGAGTATTGATTCTTGAGACGACGGTTGTTATGATGTCATACTGTACCACATAAACTTTACAAAAACGACTACAAATTCGAGAAGCATTAAACATAAAAAACAACCCCTCATCAATCAAATTTTCCTCGAATTAGAAAAATTGCTAAAAAAGAAAGAAAAAATCGACCGGCACTAAAATCGACGTTTAAACAATCAATACTTGAAAAAATAATAATGTAAAATCTATTGACGTGTAAAGTCGTGACACCCGTAAGATTATATCGAAAATCTAAAATTCCGAAGAAATCTGGTAAGAGATTGGTTAAGCATCTTACTTCACACGACCTCATTTCGGACAAACAATATGGCTTTCGTCTCGCCAGGTCTACCGCCTACGTGTTAACGGCCATCACTGAAATTGACTATCAAAATTCGATCAGAACTGTTAAGCTAGGCCTCTGACTCCAGATATTTCGAAAGCGTTCCTCAGAGTTTGGTATTCTGGCCTTCTAGGCAAGCTCAAGAACAACGGTGTCATGAGACGAATAACCAATATGTAAACCAATAGTTCCTAAAATCGTGTAATGAATGTCGCATTGAACAATCATGATTTCAGATCTTTTCATACTAACGAGGGTTCCACAATGCTCTATTCATGGCCTACGTTGTTTTTGATGTTCATTAATGATCTCCTTGACGTCATCAGTTCCCAACTAGGTATGCAGGTGACATTACTATTTACTGCTGTCTTAGTATCAAATCCGAAAGACACGACAAAATAAATCTGGCAACTGAACTTGAAAACAACCTCCAATTTTTGGCTGTTAAGTTTTAACACCTTCAACACGTAACTGCTTTCATTTAGTCACTACAGGGAATGTTTTCTGTCCGACATAAGAATGGCTGCTGCTAACCTCCAAGTGAGAAACACTCTGTGCCTATTTGGATTCACGTTTTCCACTGACATGAAGTGGAGCGACCATTTCCAATTAATTGCTACGTCTACAGCAAGAAAATTGTTTCAGTGTATCATGTCATAAAGTTTTTTCTCGTTAGAATCGACATATTTACAAATCTACAATTCATCCGTGCATTGAATACTGTTTTCATATCAGGTCTGGTGCTCCTGCTGTACATCTCGAAATTCTTGACATAATCAAAAGAAGGATCTGCAATTTAATCGATCCTGACCTGGCATCTCGATTTAAAGTTATTTTCTCACCGATATGACATGGCTTCCTTTTGCTTTTCTACAAATATTTTCATGGCATGACAACTACACTGATGAGCTTTTTTCCCCTGGTACACCGAATACGTGAATTTAAGCGTGCTTCTCTGTTGGCGATTAGGTCTCACTATTTTACTGTTGAACTAGCTAGATATAACCGCCACTTCTGTTCTGACAGTTTACTTCTTGTCTAGGGAACTGCCTTCCAATTTCTTGCTTCCCTGATATGCAACGTCAATCGCCATCTTCATTTATTTTTGATTTTTTCTTCAATCATCCCAACTAAAGTCTTCTCATTCTCGTTGATTCACTGTAACCTCCCGTGACATTATTGTCTTGTCTGGGTGTGAAACAATTAAAATAGGAAATTTTTGATTGACAAGTTCTATGACGAGGGAGATGTAAATTAACGTTATTCGTAGCCATGATTTTTCTCGAAACAGGGTTGCGGCGACAGTGGTTGGAATAAACTGACAATTTGGAATAAAGAGACAGCTTTGAAAAAAAGGTGGAAGATAAAATAAACGAGGTGTCTGAAAAAAACAGTGGGTAGATAGGGGGGCATGGCTTAAAAGTTTTTCCTGACGCGAGAGTAAATAGCTATCAAGCCTCACTCAATTTCTTCTAAAAACCGTACCTCGAACCTCTCATATTTTGGTGCCCAATACAATGATTAGAACATGAGGCTAACTAACCGGGCGAGTGCAGCGTAAACAAGCTAATTCCTACGTTCGAGATTGCAGGAAGTTAACACTTTAAATTTCAGTAGGGGGTGGCGGCGAAAACTTGGGTT